AAAAAAAATTAACAGTCAACATTGTTTTTAATTGTATTTTGTAGAATTTACTGTTCTAGGTTAATGAGAAAGTGAATCTGAAAATATATATATATCTTTTTAAAAATTTGTACTATTACAAAGATAACTAATTTTCTTTTGTCATGTGCTAGTTAAGCATAATGATGTCTTACATCCTTTATATATTAATTAAGGAGACACTAAAAATATCTTTAATGCATAGACATCTTTAGTGCATAGATACTCAAAGTGGTGTGAATGGTTCATTTTTAAAGTAAAATGATGGTAGTGATGTTAGGGTCATATCTCTCCCTGTCGGCATCGAACCGGCAAACCGATAATATACGACTAGTCGACGGGCCTCTACTTAAATGGGTCGATCCACAATTCAGGAAGTTCAGAACGATTAAAGGGCTAGCCGACTATGGAGGTTAGCCGACTTGGAGCTTTTCGCAAGAAAAGGAAACTATCTATAGCGAAAGGAAGTTTTCCTTATCATTTGGGGTTTAGCCCTATAAATCTAGACTTGTATAAATACTCTTGTACATCTTCTGAAAAAAGGATNCGAAAATCAATAGCAAAACTCTTGTATTCTTGAGATAACTTTCTTAAATAGCTAATAAAAATCTCTCTTGAGATCTTTACGTTTTGGTGGCTTTCCGCAGAAGTTTACAAACCTTAAAAAGTTATTTAACAAAATCTAGTTGTGAGATTCAACCCCCACAAGTGAGAGTAATTAAAACAAAAGTGACAAAAATTAGAAAATTAGAGTAAATGAGTGGGAAGATTTTCCCACCTCTATTTATTGGTAAGATGATTTATTGAACAATTGAAGGAAAGTGGAGTAAAACATTTTATTCTAAAACATGTTGAATGGAGCAAATATTGAGGGAATGAGGGTAAAATGTTCTCCATTCTCATTTTTTTTACTCTAAGAGCATGATTATAGGTAGTAAATATGATTGATGTAATATATAAATTTTATAATATTAATTGTATTGGGATTGATGAAT